GAGTTATTCAACATCGAAGCAAAAATAATCGTTTTTAAACATTTTATAAATCGTTGAAAATAGTCAAGTACATAATTTCTTTCACATTTAGATTAGAATATCTCGAAAATTTGAAGTGATATAATTTCGCAATTACATTTGCAATAAGCGCTGCAAAATCTATCAAAAACAATTTCATCATTTTTAAGTACAAAATGGCGTCAAACAGTATTATTATTTGTTTATTTGCTTTTGTATTATTAATAATCAAATTAATATAAATGAAGTTATAAAATATGTGTTTCATTTATTTTGAGATGCCACAAATAAATCGCAAATGTAGTTTACAATATAACGCAATATATTTCATTCTTCCATAAACTTTTATAATTATTATTCAATAATTTTTTTTTAATTTGTTTGATAATGTGAGAATGTTAAAAATTCAAAAATTCAGAAAAAATACGCGATTGGTACATTTTGAGGACATATGATAATAAATTAAAACTAGGTATATCATAAAATAACTTTTTTAGTTTTTATATATTATGTACCTTTATTAATTATTTTTGATGTACTAAGTTTAACTTTTTGTGTTCTCAAAATGTACCAAATGCAAAACTGTATTTAAATATATTTGGTCTATTTTGAGGACATTCATTCGGTAGATTTTATGTCCTCAAATGTTACCATCCATAAACTCTAATTTCGAGGACAGTCCTCAAAATGTACCATATACACAAAAAATAATAAGGACTGTCCCCAAAAATATGAAATGTCCTCAAAATATACCATATGTGACAAAAAATGTCCTCGAAATGTACCAAAGCCATATATATATGTATATGTATATATTTAATAAGTGGATATAAAAAATGTATATAAGGCAATATATCTGCATGTTTTTATTGTCAATCTACTTGCTTTTAAGCATTTCCTAACCTACAATATTATATATTATTATAAATACTTAAACACACTGACTTTGGATACGCAACTCAAGGTCAAACTGATAGGATCTGTAAATAGATATTTTTAAACCATATAACTTTTGTCTGAAACACTTTTCTGTAAAACTTATATTTCCTGAGATATTTAGATGTCTTGACGTTTTTGGGACACCCTGTATATACAATAAATATATATAAACATATATGTATAAACATGCATAATTATATATGAAATATATCCATATATTTCCATATATCCTTCTCTCTTTATTAAAATTACTGTTTGGTTTACAAGAAAAATAATAATAATGAGAAAACATAAAAAATAATTAACAGAATAATTTTCGCATTATTTCTTTTACAAAAAATTAAGTTTGAAGAAATCAAAAGAATTGCTTATATATAATTATATATAATGATTTATATATGATTATATATAAGTAATTTTTTCTCATTGCTTGAAACCTGATTTTTCGTAAAAGAAATAATGCAAAAATTATCCTTTTAATTATGTTTTATGTTTTCTCATTATTATTATTTTTTCTTGTACCAAATAGTAATTTTACTAAAGAAAAAATGATACATGGAAATATATGAACATATTTCATATATAATTATATACGTTTATATATGTTTATATATATTCTTATATGTTCTTATATAAAAAATTTTTGACCGGGGATCTAGTGGACATATGGCCTCAATCTGGAAGCTCTGGTTGACAGATTGATCATCTATCTCAGATAGAAATATGATATCATAATGACTTAGTACTTAAGTAGCAAAATTCGTCATTTTGACATCGTTTTACTACTTGGGTATGTAATGATTATCACCGATACATAAATACAATGTTGCTTTGCTACGTTCTTCTCAAGTGAACTGATTAAAAAATAAATTTACTAACGCATACATGTAAGCTAACATAACCTAAGCATAACATTGCACAACTAAGTGATTGTTTAAAAACGATTGATATCCTGGTTGGTAAAAGTTCGAATTATTATATAAAATAGGCTTTTTTAAATTATTTTTGCATCCAGTGTGTCAATATTGTAAGATTCTCAATTGTGATGGGATTGATTGACTGAGATATAACCTCGAAACTCTAAAGCTCATTATTGTGTCTATAAAATCACTTTAATTTAATTGTTATCACTTACCATCATGAGAAATTTATTTCCTAAACGCTAAGTTTGATGCACTCAATGCTAATATCGTTTTCTATGAGATCCTCGTTATTTGTGTCAATGAGCACGTAGTAGGATTGTTCCGAACTGAGTAACATGATGTGTTTGACACACGCGCGCTTCTAGACTAAAGTGGGAAACACACTCTTGAATAAGAAAAGGCATAAGGTATTTGACCAATCAGTGTCTTTCGTTCCCATCGTGACAAAAGAAATGAAGATAGGTTTATTTCCTTGCGTATTGTAGCTGGTTGAAGTTTGGAACGTTCTTGGAGCGATTTTTTCAAAATGGTTCGTCCCATTTTTTCTTTTGCTCAGAGCTACATCTTCATGCCAGACAACAAATAAAAAATACCCCGAACGAATCCATGCGTCGGAAGACACCCTTAACGGCGAAAAACTACTCTCGAAATACTTAAAAAAATTCTTTCAAAGCCAAAAATGATTTGTCCCATTTCTCCTTTTGCACAGAGCTACACCTGTATGCCAGACAACAAATGAAAAATACCCCGAGCGAATCCATGCGTCGGAGACACACTTAACAGCTCTGATTGTTGTGTGTGTGTGTGTGCGCGCGCGTGTGTGTTGGAAGAGAATATGGATATATATATATATATATATATGTATATATGTATGTACTTTGAGAAATCTCTGGATCTTCGTCCTCTGATTCGCGCGCGCGCGTCATGGGATTTTTTTCTTTTTTACTTATAATTCCACATTTTCGACAATCTCGCAATTTATTTCTATAAGAATCAACTAATTTTTCTTTGGAAATTTTTTGCCTTCGGTTTTAGGTGGACAATAATAAATACTAATATTTTCAGTAGGAAATATTTTTATAATTTGTGTTGCTATAAACTCAAAATGTTCGTTTTTTAAAGATATCCTAAAATTAAATTATGAATTAATTAATTACTAGTAAATCAACTAAATTACTATGCTTCAAAAATATTCTTTTACCCTTGGTGTTTACCACAGAAGATAGACATGAGGGCCTGTATTCAGAACGCGCTTTTATCGATAAAAGCACACTTTTATCTCTGAAATTCTATAATATGCGTGACGTAAAGTATAGTATGTTAATATGCTAACATCATTGTAAGCGCGTTCTGAATACGGGCCTAAATGTGTAACAATCACATCAACTAGTTTTGACCACAATTGTCTATTCAGTGTTGCTTCTTTTTTATAAGTCGCAAGAATTATTCTTCCATCTATAGAATACTCAGAATTTCTTTATACTCCTGTAAAAAATATGCATAAAGTATATTTCAATAAATTTATTTCTTACCTTATAAGAATGTTTTACTTAAAAGAATATTTTGTAATGTTTTTTTGCGTGATGCAAATATATATATATATATATTCTCTAAGTATCAATTAAAAAATTGTTTTTAAATAGTGCTAATTTTAACTTAAAAAAATGTCAAAAGTTAAAAATCTTACTAAGGAGTATACGTTTTTAATCAACAGGATCTTCCGATTTCTGAGGTGTACATTCTTTTAATATTTCTGAATTGTTTCTTTTTGTTTCTTTAGGTTGGTTTGTTTGTTTTATTCCTGAACATTCAAATTGTTCTTCTTGTATGTTTGATTTTTCTTTCTCTATGGATGCACTTTGAATAGAGGTTGGATTACATCTGTGTTGAGCATATTTTCTTGTCTATAAACATTCTGTATATATTTTAAGTTTAAATTAATAAAAAGGTGTACATTTTAAGAATAAGAATCAGAATTAGAATCATGACCGTTACATGTAAATACATCATATGAATATATGAAGAGCCGCCAAAGACAATCAAAAATTTAAATGTTAGATTAATAATTTTATACATATATAAATTTCTAAGTAACTTTTATTTCAGTCAGATTGTGCATGTATGCGCGTATACACTGTTGGTCTTTCAATACAATTAATTACGAATTTATATATAAAATTATTATTAATCTAACATCTAAACTTTGATTGTTTTTGACGGGTTTTTATATATTTAAAAAGATTATGTTCTATGTCAATAACATAGAGATTAACCTTTCAATTTCCAAAATTTTTCTGACGTAAGTTTCGTGGGACGAGCAGTTGATTCTTAAAAATTTTCTGTATATTATATGTTTGTGTGTGTGTGTGTGTGTGTAAATTTATTCGTCTCAAAAAGATCATAAGTAGAAAAATCCATAAAAATTATCAAAATTTTTTGACAGAATTATTCTAAAAAGATTGTTTTTGAGTAAACGGCTCGTCTCGTTTAAAAATCTAAGATTTGATACATCTTAATTTTGTATCTTATTTACCTTATTTGATTGCTGTTCTAAGTATTGTTTTCTTTTTTCTATAAAAGTACATCTTGCACCAATAGTACGTATTAATTCCATTAATATTTCCTCTGAAATATTTAACAATAATGATGGGCTTATTTCTTGTTCTATAAAAATAAAATCAATTATTGTTATACTATATCTTACTTTTATGACCGTTTTGTTTGTGCTGGATTTACTTCCGCAATGAAAAAAGCACGTTCGGACGTTGTGACCATTTTTTATTCTAATTTTCTACATGAACGCTTGAGGCGCCTTAGTTGACAAAAAACAAATATAGAGTTCAACGCAGACAATTTAAACCGATTTCTTGAACAGAATTATGAGACAAATAAATCAAACATAAAGCCCCCGGCGTTGGGAGATTGTATTCTTAATCTTAAATCGCAATATACACTTCTATTAATATTTAATGGACGAACGAAATAAGTTCTAAAAAAAAAGGAATAACACATTACTGCTACGATAAACTAATTGACTATCAAACAATGTAAAGAAAAATTAATAATCTGAACTGATAATCTAAAGTACTCCATCGTAGAGTCATAATTGATTTTCGCAGCCTATATGTGAACGTCTGCTTCATCCTGTAGCAAAGGGCAGAGTTTGTTGAAGGCTCTACGAACGGTTCCAGTGGATGTCTTAATGGAAGCAACCTTGGGAATGCCGTCGGATCCAGGGTGGACTTCCATAATGCGACCAAGTCTCCATTTGGCAGGTGGCAAATGGTCTTCCTTCAACAATACCAATGTGTTGACTGCCAAAGCCGGAAAGGGCGTCTTCCATTTGGTTTTCTGCTGCAGTTCGGAGATATATTCTTTGCTCCAGCGTTTCCACCAATTTTGTTGCAATTGTTGGATTCTTTGCCAGTTAGATAGCCTTGATTGCTTTAAGTGGCTCAAATCTGGATCGGCTACTGAATTGAAAGTACGCCCAATCAGGAAATGAGCCGGAGTGAGAGGAGAGAGGTCGTGCGGATCTGAGGATAAGGGTGTCAATGGTCGGGAATTTAATAACGCTTCGACTTGGGTTAAAAACGTACAAAGTTCCTCATATGTTAGCAACGTGCTCCCAGCTACTCTCTAAGTGATATTTAGTTGCCTTTACTCCTGCCTCCCACAAACCACCGAAATGAGGCGAATAAGAAGGAATGAAGTGCCATGAGATTCCTAAGTCCGCTATCGTTTCACCTAGCTCCTTACATTCTTTCGCGAAAAACTTTCCTAGCTCTATCAATTCGTTATTGCCTCCAACAAAGCTTGTTCCGTTGTCGGAGTATATCTGTGATGGTTTTCTTCGACGGGACACGAAACGCCTTAAGGTTGCGATAAATGCGTCTTTGGTTAAGTCAGATACAAGTTCCAAGTGCAATGCTTTCGTCGAAAGATATACGAACACGTATATATAGCATTTGTTTGTCTTATACCCTCTCCCTTTACGATCCTTTACAGCAAAGGGCCCGGCATAGTCTACTCCGGTGGCGGAAAATGGGAAAGCCTGGGAGACCCGTGCTCGCGGTAGATTACCCATCAGCGCTTTTACTGGTCTTGGATTAACTCTACTGCATGTGGTACAAGCGCGTACTACCTTTCTAGCTAAGTTCCGCCCTCTTAGTGGCCAGAACTGTTCCCATATTGACGCCAGCAATAGAGAAGGGCCCGCGTGTAACAATCGTTTATGCATGCACTCGAAAAGACGCTTGGTAAATATTTGAGCTGAGTCTAAGATAATCGGATGCTTTTTATCCTTCTCGAATAATGAGTTTCTTAACCTACCTCCCACTCGCAGAATCTTATTTTCGTCTACGAATGGTGTTAAGGAAGCTAATCTTCCCTTTGTAATTGGGACACCGGCCCTAAGTGAGTCTATTTCTTCTTCAAAGGCATTAAGCTGAGACATTTTGGCTAGTCCTATTAGAGAATTTTCGTACTCCTCAGCGCTTATACCCCCTGCTTGCTTCTCTTTTGTTTTTAAGCACTGTATAAATCTACGACAATAAGCGAAAATTTTTATGATTTTAGGCAACTTTGAATGCCGTTTGAACAATTCGTCTATCATTGTACTTTTTGATGTTTTTACGAAAAATATGGAATTCCCCGTATTTGTGGTGGGCTCTACGTTTGGCATTTTTGGCCAATACTCGGGGTTTCTTCGCAAAATTCAAGTCCGTTCCACCAGATGTTAGCGCCCTGTAGCTCATTTGGATTCGCTCCGCGTGATGTCCAATCGGCAGGGTTACTTTCCGTGGGCACATGCCTCCACGCCCCTATCTCGGTTAACTCTTGAATGCGCGCTACTCTGTTGGATTCGAAAACCGAGAGAAGATTTGGTTGAGTACGTATCCAGCCTAATACTATCGTAGAATCGCACCAGAATGATGCGAATGATGCAACATTTATCCTTGTTTAATATTCAGTGAATAACGAGGATAAATGATGCATCATGAGCATCATGCGTGAAACGGAACGTAGCCAAGGACAGAACGATATTTGTGTAGACTTGTGTTATTAAATGGAAAGCGCCTCTAAATGTCCTAACTCACTTCGCATGGAAAGTCATGAGCCCCTTGACAGGGGGGAGAGGTGGTGTAAAACTCGCTTCGCGTGGAGATCAAAACAAAGATATACACTGATATACACCAATATCCTGTAAACCAAGGTTAACGCGAAGTAACGAGTTCTATCCCACCTTGCCTAGGAACAAATTTTAATGTGTTAAATTTAATATATTTATAACTGAAAAGTATATTTGTGTACATGTACATAAAATTTAATGTACTTTACATGAAAATTTATTAAATTTAATGTACATGTTCGTTACATTTAACTACGCACACACACGCACACACACGCGCGCGCACGCACGCACACGCACACGCGCACATACCACGCACACACACCACGCACGCAAGCACGCACGCAAGCACGCACGCAAGCACGCACGCAAGCACGCACGCACGCACGCACACACCACACACACCACACACACCACACACACACGCGCGCACACACACACTAACACTGTAACTTAATTTTCAGTTAAATCATGCGACCGCGCTTTTACTTTGAAGACACTCACCGATAAGACTGAAACGCGTCTGCCGTGCCAGGTGAACCGGGCGACTATGCCATACTTGCAAAAAAACGCGGCATCTCGTCGCCTTCAAAATAACTCAAGCGGCCAATCAGGGCTGCTCTCTCTGTCGCATGTTCCACCACGCATACGCATTAGGTTGTATTTTCATGCTGACGCTCGACTTTCGATTCGAGCGTCAAACAGGTCACGTGATCAAAATTGATGCTTGGTATTCGTCAATTTTGATCAGGGGACCTGTTTGAAGGCTTAAGCTGGTTCTACATTAGTTGCAAGCTGATCGCAAATTTTGTTGCGACAGCCAATATGAAGCGTTGATTTCAAAATGCAAGCTTCAGAGATTGGCTGGTGTAACAAACTTGCGATCGGCTTGCAACTAATGTAGAACCGGCTTTAAACACAATAGGCACAGGCAATAAGGAAATTTCCTTCAAATTCCACTTCAAATTAATTCTTTTTTAATTATACAGTTTATACTAGTACTATACCTATTTCTAAATAAAATATGAAAAGTCGATCAGTTAGTTTTTAAATTATTCTGTAAGCTGGAAATAGTTGACACCATTATCATTTTGTATTCAAAGAATATCTCTATTCTAAAAAAATTTATTCGGATACCATCAACGGAAGTCAATTTTGTAAATCAAGAGACACTGTAATGTCTCGCGCCAAGTGGGCGCGCAGCGCGAGACACGCGTGTCTTTACGCGAGTCAGCGAGTTCCGGGCATCCGAGCA